AGTTCTGCTAATGAGTTCTGCTAATGAGCTCCTGCACCTCTTTTTCTACGAAATGACCCTGCGAAAACCTATATGAAAACAAAGGGTCCACCTTTCAATCCATCAAGTGGATTGAAGAAAATCTGAACAATGAGTTTCCAGAACCAGCTACACAGTCAATGGATGATAAATCATTTATCTACTGCTGTTTATATATTGCTGTGCTTCCAGTTATGTTTGCATGTGTCTTCAGATAGGGAAATGACTTCCCCAACATTTTATATGGAGAAAACAGATACTTTCCATACAGACATGCCCAAAGCTCCAAACAGGCTCATTTTGGTTTCCTTCTGATGCCTCTGGGCATGTCTACGTAAGACAGGGGTCCCCAAGACGGAGCCTGTGGGTGCAAGGATCCCTGTGGACACCTTTTCTGACGCCCGCCAAAAATTTATAGAAAGTAGGTGGAGCCAAGTAGGGCTTTTCCCCAGCAGGGCTTCTGATTGGCTATTGGAAATTTGACTGGCTGTGCGGATTTTTTAAAACGTTGCTTTGTCAGCACAAGGATCTTCACCGTGTGACTGAAGAGAAGCTGAAGCAATCATTTTGCGGCTGTCTGCACCTCCAGGGGCAGCCATTTTGTGGCTGTGTCAGAATTCCAAAGGTGCCCACGGGCTCGAAAAGCCTGAGGACCCCTGACATAAGAGACACCAAAGATGACACCAGGACAGGAAAAAGATGCCACAGGAACTATAACAATCTTCCTTCTACCCTGTGAACTTTGCCATTCACAATAGATTGTAGACTTTTCAGTTTCTGTTGACTGACATCCTGGTAAATCCAAGCGGGAGTCGAGCACCAGCATCATGTGACCAAGATCTAATCCTCTGATCTCCCCCTGTGGAGATGCCCTCCATTTCCAAATGTGTTTGGTGTCATGTTAACTCCGGACATGCCCCTTCCCGCTGCCTGCCATCTGTCGCAAACCCAGAGAAGAAATCCCCTAAAACTTATTCACTATGCAAAGTGAAAACACAAGCAGAATTTATAGGCAATTTTCTCTGGGCTGAATTAAAACAATAAGCCAAATTATTTATTTCCGTCTAACTTCCTGGATAGATGAAGTCAGTGTTTCTCTAAAGAATACAGATCCTCCCTGCCCCCCCCCTCCTTCTCCTGTTTGACAAACACACTCCGAGTCAGCTGGGGAAGCCCTCTCCATGGAGGTAACACTGCAATCCAATCTGCCCACGAACTCTGGGCACGGAGTGCCTCTTGCGAAACAGCTGCCAACAGCGAAAGCAGGATTATGGGCTATTAGGGAAATGAAGTCTCCAATCCGCCTTCCCCTGCCTGGATATCACACCACGAGGAATCCCAGCTTACAAGAGTGCTAAATGGTTCCCAGGCTTCAGACAGACGTTGATCTTACCTGCAGGGCCTCCAGGAATCTGAAGGATCCAAGCCTCCGGCCACGGGGGACCAGACAGAAAGTGGCATTGTGCAGCATTTCACGATAATCATACCTAACAACGAGAGAAAAGGGGGAAAAGATAAATTAACAATGAGTCCTGGGGAAATGGTGCATGAAAATGTAAACATCTGGCGATGTGCATCTGGTTAGCATCATCCCTGGACAAGTTCACATCTGTAAAACTAGCATAACAGTGAGGAGCCAGCCAACCAGAAAAGGGGGGTGGGGAAATGTGAATAAATATATTCCCTGACAGACTGGCACAGCGAGAGGATATGGCAGAGACTTTTAGCTGAAGGGGGGGATGGGATGGGGCGGCTTCCGAGCAGTCCATTCTCATTGAACAACTGATTTGGGAGAGAAAGCGTGCACCAAAATATACGGCGGCAGTGGCCAAGGGAAAAGAATGGAAGGGCGGGCCCGGCTACGGAGGCCCGCAGTGGCCAGTGTGGGCAGAGACTAATACTGTCTCAAGTATGCACAGGTGCCTACTGGCCTCAGCACTGTTGCAGGTCAGTCGCATCTACACTGTCTGAGTCGGTCTCTTGCCCCGCCCTCCCTTCCCATCGCTAAATCCACCAGCTGCTCAGCAGTGTATGATCCCTGTGCAACACAGGCTTGGAGCATGAAGGAGGAAGTGAAAGCGGATAGTCAAGTAGCTGAGTCCACCCGATTTAACACATCTGTTCCCCACAAGACAGAGCACCCACCCATTTGCGTGACACAGGGGCAGCCATTTTCAAACTCTCTTTCTGTGAGTGGCACAGATGATGTCGGGGCATGCTCTTGAGGACACAAGGGAGCCATGTGGGTTCATCGCTGTCCAGTATAAATGTACACATTTTCCCTAGAACATCCCTAACAATCTCCTGCCGTTCGACCACTGCAGTGCAGTGGACAGGTGAGCAGGGATGGGAAAGCTATCTTTCATAGAATAATAATAATAATAATAATAATAATAATAATAATAATAATAATAATAATAATAATAATAATAATAATCATCTTTCCATTTATTGATTGCTCAATCCATGCAGAGCTGCTGGCTCTGAGCGATTTACAGTTACTCCTGAATTTCACATGGGACTAACAATGCTGGGGGTGGTCATCCTTTTCTTTAGCAGTATTGATCTAATGTTCCTCTAACAGCTGCAGCATTGCTAAACCATAATAACAGGAACTTAGGCTTTAGAAACACAATCTGGGCAAACGTGGTAGCCATTAAAACTCCTACAGGGGCACTGTTGGGAAATCAATTGGTTTAGTAAGAGAAGAAACGGTAACTAGGGGTTCTCCTAAATTAACTGTGGAACTTCTATGGGCTATATGTTCAGAAGGTAGTGGCTGGTCTCATTTAATCCAAATCACGCTTTACTGTTTTTATTGTACATTTTGACTTTGGATTTGGAAACTGGGGAAAAGATTCGCTGCTGCTTCAGTGGGCAGTGCTCGACATATCCTCTAACTACTTACAGTTCTGTCACTTAAACATTGCCAGGGTTCGTAAGCCTAAAAATAGTCTGGATCAGGGCTAATGGTGACCAAAAGTTCTTTGGTACATTAAAGAGTAATACTTTTATTGAGAGAGGCATTTTCATGGCTCAAGTCCACTCCAGCGGTAGGGTTACCTGTTGTTTTGAACCTCTTCCTGTAGCTGCCACTTGAACAGTGGCTTCCTATTTAGGGATGCTCAAACACCTGCCAGTTCGGCTCACTCCCTGCCATGACTGGGAAGCTGATCACTCAATGGGCTAGGGGCATTGCACTGTTCGTCGAGCCACTCCTCACATCCAGCATGGTAAATACAGTGCAAGTTGGACCCTACAGCTCCCTTTGGTCAAGTCTTCCTTCAGAGGAGAAAGACTTCTTCCAATGGAGAAAGATTTTGTCTTTTGAGGGAAGTCCTTTGTTTGGAGGAGATGTCTTCCTGCCTTTGAAGGGACTCTAGGCAGAAGAAAGGAGTAGAATCCAACCTGCAGGAAACTGAAGGACATTCATATAATCCCCTGCCACCACTAATTAAAATGAAGATTAAAGACTCTGTAGGAGCAGAAATTCAGTGCTTCCCAGGAGAGGTGGCTTATTAATATGAGCAATGATAGAACCTATGTTCGCAGATTAGGGATCTAATAAATCCAGTGCCATAATGTGACAACAGTAATGGTCTTATGCAGTGGTTCCTTGAACTTTTTGAAGTGGTATTAACTTTTAAGCTTACTTTATGTTCCAGAACCCACCGAGGTAGGCTGAGAGGAGTGCGGCTCTGGGAATCAATGAAGCTACACTCATCGCCTCCCGCCCTGCTGGAGACTGGGAGTGAACGAACAGGGCTGCCGGATGAAGGATAGGAAGAGGAGAGACGCAAATTATTATGTGCTTATATTCGCGATACTCAGTGGCTCTTCTGAACCCTGTTCCCCAGTGTGGCACCTGCCCCATATTTCAGGGAAGCAGGCAAGGCTCATGTCTGGGGGGACTTGTGGTCAGCAGGTGGTTTCCACCTTGAAACAGCCACTGCCAGAGAAACAGGTAAGCCTCCCTGAGGGGGGTGCCAGCCTCACGCCTGGGATGGAAATTAATGTGGGTTTTGGTTTTTTTGGGGTAGATTATATTTGCAAAACGTGCTTTCCTGCAAGCCGCAGAGTGAGCACCACTGGTTTAAATGCTTCAAAGATAAGGACGTGTTTGCCGTTTGTATGTCTCGTTAACCGTTTAAGCAATAAGGCCAGCAATGAGCAGGGGAGGCTGTTATCCCGGAAGCCAAAAGAGAAACGAGAGGATCTGCAGGGAAAGGATTAGAGCTCCCAATTAGCGTCTGCCCAGTTTCTTAAAAGTGCTTTACATGGATGCTTCTCTAAATGAAATCCACATCCCTAGAAAGAATGCAGCAGCTCCACCTTCTCTTCTCAAAGCACCTTCTCTCCCAGTTCAGGGATTTGAGCATCGCAAACCATGTGAGTTTTGACCCACTTTGGGGGTCACGGCTCACAGCTGGAGAACCACTAATGTCTCATTGAGTAACACAGCACTAGGATGGCCATACATCCCATTCAATGCTCCTGGCGCAGCAAGTTTGAGGAGTGGGTCGTTAGTCAATTATCTTGCTTTGAGATGACAAATCAATCAGGAACCTGATAAATGACAACACCTCAGTGCAGAAGAGGTTGCAAGTGTATTTGGCTGCCTTCCAGGCCGTCCTACAGGTGAGGGCAGCCTCCTTTTGGGACGGAGGCGGGGCCCTGCAAAGGACTGACTGAATTTCTTCTATTTGTAAAAAATGCAAGGCATTGTTTAAGTTCCCTTCTTGGGGGGGGGGATGCTTTGGGAATTGGATTTTCGGGCCGTAAACCGTTCATTCAACATGAACAGTTTTAAGCATTTGAAGGGCTTTCATTTAGAGGACAGCAGGGTGCTGCTTCAGTTGGTAGTAGAGGACAGTGTTCCCTCTAAGCTGAGTTAGTGTGAGTTAGCTCACAGTTTTTTAGCCTCCGGCTCACAGATTTTTGTCTTAGCTCAGGAAAGTAATTACCAGGGTGAACTAATTTATGCAGTAGCCAAATCAGGATGGCTCCAGAGCTGACTAATTTACGCAGTAGCCAAACCGCTTGCTCACAACTTTAATGCCCGTACCTTCCAAAGTAGATTTTTTTGCTCACAAGATTCCACAGCTTAGACGGAACATTGGTAGAGGATAGGACTTATAACAATGGGTTTAAATTATGAGTAGGGACAGATCAGCGGAATATTAGGAGAAACTTTTTAACAATAAGGGCAGTTCAGTGGGGGAATCGGTGGCCCAGCGAAGTTGTGGGTTATCCCTCCTTGGAGGAATTTAAATGAAGACTGGACAATTATCTATCAGGGATGCTTTAGGTCATCCTGCCTGGTGCAGGGGGTTGGACTGGATGGTCTTTAGGCCCCTTCCAACTTTAATTCTATGATTCTACACTTGGTCTTCCATGATTTTTCATGTGCATTCTTTCCTTTATATAGTATCTGGTGCAGCTACTACAGCACATTTGTTTTACAGTGCAATCCTATGCAGAGTTACTCCAGTGTAAGCCCATTGAAATCACTGGAGTAACTCTGCACAGGATTGCACCGTTAGCAGTATTGGCCAGGTAGCTAGATTATATGCGATTCCTGGAATACAGTTGAGTTCCTCCTCAGCCTTTGCTGGTTACTATAAACTGAGCCCCTGTATTTTTATACATGTCCATGTGCAAAAAAAGCTAGCAGCACTGTTGAACCAAAGGAATAGGAGTAGGAGTTGGTTTTATACCCTGCTTTTCTCTACCTGAAGGAGTCTCAAAGTGGCTTACAATTTCCGTCTCTTCTTCTCCCCACAACAGTCACCCGGTGAGGTAGGTGGGGCTGAGTTCTGAGAGAACTGTGACTGGCCCAAGGTCACCCAGCTGGCTTCATGTGGAGGAGTGGGGAATCAAACCCGGTTCTCCAGGGTTTGTCGCTCTTAACCACTACATCACGCATGGAAATGACCCAAAACACACTGCATAGCTTTAGAGAACACGTTCATTTTTGGAGGAGTTCCTTGAGGCAGGGCACGGTAGTGGTGGTGGTGGTGCCTCCAATTTATGTTTAATGATAAATCCCTCACATTTATAATCAGTGCTTAACAAAGTAAATTTAACTGCCCCATTAGTGAGCCATGCTTTCAGTTCCAGTTATATCGATGCAAACGTTGCACAAAACTGCATGAGTTTACTGTCACTGGAGAAAAGTCCCTCCTGACAGGCATCAAGAACAATTAGGCGCCAATACAAATTTCTTTTTATCAACCAGGAAAGAATGAAGAAAATGACAAGGGTGAGTCACACCGTGTAACTGTGTGTGTGGCGGGGGCAAATTAGTTGAGGGGAGCTTCTGAACCTGTATGAGGTTGGTTTGGAGAAGTTGCAAGGGAGGGACTAGAAATGATTTTGGGCAATGAAACACAAAAGGGGCAACGACCGACGTTCTTTAGAATTAATGCATTCCGCTAGACCCTACTGTTTTCTTTCCAATTTCATCAATCATTTCAGAACCATTTAC